TGGTAAAGTAGTAGTGTGTATGGCATCGTGCCTTAAGACAAATTGCTGGGACTTCCCGTTTTGTGACGAAATGTTCGAGAAATATTAAATATTTTCGAATAGATTATTATAAATAAATACTGTAACATTGTCTAATATTTATAAGAATTATTTAAACTGAATTGCAAAGTTGAAAATATTTTATTAAAGTATGTTAGAACTTAAGTTAGAATTACAGTTAAAATCTGAATTATTTTTGATACACAAAAAAAAATGTGAAAACATAAACTTCTCCTTCGGGAAGTTAAAAAAAAAATTAAAAAAATTGAATCAAAACATCTTTTCCCGAAAAGCAATTATTTTGTTAAAACAAGCAGAAAGTTCTTTCAAGAATCATTCAAATCCGACGCTTAGTTCTCTCAAAAACTGCCATTTTTTGCACATTTAGCTCTGTATCTCCGAAACCAATTGACCTGCCTTTGCTAAAAACTAATCACCACTTCTCCCCGTTATTACAAATTGAATCCGATATTACAAAAAAATCCGAATCGCTAATTTTATGTTTCCTCGACGTTTCAAGCCATTCTGAATCGAATAAGACCAAATTTCGAAAACGTATGTGTGTGTGTGAGTGTGTGTGTGAACAGATTTTTTGCCGCAAATCGACGTTTTCTCGAAAACGGCTGGACCGATTTCAAAAATTTAAAATCCATTCGATGTATCTCGATGAGGAGGACTATCGTTTTTGTGTGACGATCAGCGTCACCGTTTCTTCATAAATAGCAAAAAAGTGACCAAAGTTTGAAAAAAGGCAATTTTCATGAATTTTTTTTTTATGGTGATAGATATCATGGTCTCCTAGATCATACTAAAATATTTCGGCTCTACGACAAGTCGTTTAATTTTTAAAATTCGTCAAACTTTGCAAAAGTTAGTATCGTTTTTTTGGCATTTATCAAAATTAGAACTTTCATCGATGTTTGCTCAAAAACGCCTGAACTGATTTCAGAAATTTAAAATCCATTTGATATATCTCGATGAGTAAGTTTTGTGCGACGATCGGCCGAGCCGTTTCTTTGTAATTTGGAAAAAGTGTTAAAGTTTTCGTCCACATTTAAGCTCATACTACCGAATCGATTTTAAAAAATCAAAAACTGTTCGAAAGATATTAGTTGGGAATGATACTGATTAGTTTTAGGTGAAAATCTATCGAGCCGTTTTCTTGTAATTAACTGTTGAAAAAAAATTTAAGCCAATGGAACTTCTTTTGGCGATATACGAGTATATCATGGTCTTATAGAACTTACTGAAATATTACGGCTTTACGACAAATGATTTAATTTTAAAAATTCATCAAAGTTTGAGAAAACGAGTAGTTTTTTTGACGTTTGTTAAAATTAAAATTAGACGATTTGCTTGGTATATTGATAGAGTACTTAGTCTTAATGAACATACTGAGCCATTAAAATCCTGCGGAAACTGGTTCAATTATAAAAATGGTTGATTTTTGAAAATTTGCTTTTAGAAAATACTCCGAATTAACGTTTTTTTTTCTTTTCAATTATCTGTAATAAATCCACTCGGAATACTTTTAATCACTCATGAATTAATTTATTTTTTTTAAGTCGATTATTAACACATATCGGGAAGTTCATGTAACTTGCCTCAAGGCAAAATACCAATACCAACTAGTTTGTTTTTTTGCAACAATTATTTTATCTACCATGCTGTAATGAGAGAAAACTGCATTCGACTGTTTCTTTTAAAATTTCCGCGTTTCACATTTGTTAATAACAATTTATTTATTTTGCATAATTTCATAATTATTGATTTAATTTAACTCACCAATCAAAAAACAGCACAGAAACACACAAATTCGCGACATTTTACAACAATTTATAAAGTTCGACTGAAAAGGAATCCAAAACGACGACATTAACTTTCATTTTGTTATATGCGCGAATAGACCGACGGCTGGGGACAAATTTTGGTTTTATAAACAAACTAGTGGGGCGCATGGCATCGTGCCTTAAGGCAAATTGCTGGAACTTCCCGTACCAAAAATTATTTTTTTTAAAAGATTAACATTTTTGAAAAAAAAAATTACTCTTAAAAATTAGATTTTTGAGAAACTATAAATTTTTGACAAAAATTTACTTTTTTTTTAAAAAAAAAAGTGTATTTTGAAATATTTTGGAAATTCTGAACTTTTTTTCAAAGCAATCGTACTGCTTTAACTGCATAGAGACGAAATATCGAAGCGCGTAAGCGCCGCGACGCCGTCTAATGGATAAGCATTGGTACGGAACCCATAGGAATGTAAACAAAATTTATACTTATTGTTAAAATCTCTATAAAATATCTGGTAATTTGATGTGCATATGTCTAATGATCATTTTTTACCGCCAAATGGCATTTTTTTTACGTTTTTTACTAGATCTCCGAAACCGCTAGACCTACCTTCATGAAAATTTGATCAGTTCTTTATCTTGTTAATACAAGTAAAATGTTTTTTGAATTATTCAAATCGGACGCTCCGTTCTCTTAAAAACTGAGTTACCGTTTTTGGCACTTTTTGCCCCATATCTTCGGAACGGCTAGACCTGCCTTCGCCAAAAACTAATCAGCACGTCTCCTTATCAATACGAATCGAATGCTTTTTGAATTATTCAAATCGCTTCATCCGTGTTCCCGAAATCGTCGACGCAAATGTGTATCCGCACACACACACGCACACACACGCACATACATCCATTTTTTCTAAGGTATGCCAAATATTTAGAAACTTCTGAAACGTAAAGATATATAAAAATTTTGATTTTCGATTTTTTTACGATTACTATAACTTGCCCTGCGGGAAGTTAAAAATTGTATAAAAAAATTTTATTATATTTTTTTTTAAGTGAAGACATCAACTGTGAATAGTATAAAACACGGAATGGAATATATATGGTTATAATTAAAACGCTTTTCTTAGGCCTATAATATTTTAGGTTACACGAACCTTATCATCATACAAAGCTAACTAGCAATATTTTTTTTCAACAATTTATTACGAAGGAACGGCCTGACCAATATTTGCCAAAAACTATAATCAGCATAATTTATAACTGATACCTTTCGAAAGGTTTTTAAATATTTAAAATCGGTTCAGTATTTTTTGCAAAAACGGGGACGAAAGATGGTGCACTTTTCTGCTAATTCTTAAGAAACGCCTCAAACTATTCAGAATAACTTGTCGGCTAAACATGAAATTAGAAATTCCGATTTTCTGGCGAAAAATAAAAATAGAAAAAGATCTATCGATATAGTGAGAATTAATTTGGCAAATAACTTACGACTTTATAATTAAACTAGTGGGGTGTATGGCATTGTGCCTTAAGGCAAATTGCTGGAACTTTCCGTACCGTAACGAAATGTTCGAGGAATACTGAATGTTTTCAAATAAATCATTATAAATATTGTAACATTGTCTAATATTTATAAGAATTATATAAACTGAATTGCATAGTTAAAATTATTTGTTTAAAGTATACGAGGTGTGTTCAAAAAGTACCCGGAATTACTAATAATTAAATTTCGCGGGTCTGGAGTGTCTGATTGTCAAATTTTTTTTTTTATTGTGTTGGTATACATGCCCCTAAAGTATGATGAAATTTTCAGCTATATTCACTGTTTACTTTGTCTGTGGTAGTCGCTAAGGTTCGACGTATTTTTCTGAGCTCGGCGATTTTTACAATGGAAGAATTGAAAAGTCAAAGAATTTGTATTAAATTTTGCGTAAAAAATGAAATAAAGTGTTGCAAAGTGCAAAAATTCACCAGATATGGCTCCGTGTGACTTTTTCCTATTCCCAAAGTTGAAGAGACCCATGAAAGGACGGCGGTTTTCCTCGATTGAAGAAAATCGCTGAGAGTGCTCAAGGACATATCAAAAAGTGAATATCAAGGGTGCTTCGAAAATTGGAAAAAACGCTGGCATAAGTGTATTATATCTGGGGGGGACTACTTTGAAGGGGACCACATTAATGTAGACGAATAAATAAATATTTTTTTGAAAAAACGAAAATTCCGGGTACTTTTTGAACAGACCTCGTATTAGAACTTTAGTCAGAATTAAAAATAAAATCTGAATTATTTTCGATATACAAAAAAAAACTAAAAAAAAAAATGATACAATTTTTTTCCAAAATCAATTATTTTGTTAAAACAAGCAGAAAGTTCTTTGAATCATTCAAATCGGACGCTTAGTTCTCTCAAAAACTGCCATTTTTTGCACATTTAGCTCTGTATCTCAGAAACCGCTAGACCCGCCTTTGCCAAAAACTAATAACTCCTTCTGCCCGTCATTACGAATTGAATGTTTTTTGAATCATTCAAATCGGATGCTCCGATCTCTCAAAAACTCGATTTCTATTTTCTGCACTCTTTGCTCTTTATCTCCATAACTGCTGGACCTGCCTTTGCCAAAAACTAATTAGCACATCTCAACCATTTAAATCGGTTGATCCGTGCGCCCGAAAACGTGGACGAAAAATTGTATCCATACATACACACACACACACGTCCATTTTTTCTGAGGTATGCCAAAATGTTCAGAAACCTTCAAAATGTCGAGAAATGCAAAGATTTTCATTTTCAATTTTCGGTCCATTACTATAACTACCCTACGGAAAGTTAATAAACATAGAAACTGAATTTTGAAAAAAATTTGAAACAAAAACATTTTACTAATTTAAATTATAATTCATGACAAGAAGTACATAAATTTGACTATTTTTCAAATTCTTTGATGCCTATTTATTTATGACACTATTCGTTTTTTCATATTTATTAATTATCTATTGTGTTACTAATTAAATATAATACAGTGTTGTGGTCTATTTCGTATGGGAAATTGATGATCTAGTTACAATGATAATATAGATTGTTTTGTATACTGTGATTTAATTTATTAAATTGCATTTATAAATCTTCTACAAAAAGCAACATCGAGCAGTCTATAATTTTTACTAAATTTACTCTTGCGCCATCCAGCTCTCTCACTAATGGTATATGGTAAAATACCACACTCCATAATACCAGTCGGCTTCGTAAAAGCATTGATGATCAAATATCGTTTCTGTATATAAATGATTTATTATAATTATTATTTATTGTTTATTAACTTCCCGTAGGGTAAGTTATAGTAATGGGACGAAAATCGAAAATCAAAATTTTTACATTTCTCCACGTTTTGAATGTTTCTGAACATTATGACATACCTCAGAAAAAATGGATGTGAAATTTTGATTCAATTTTTTTTGTATATCAGAAATAATTCAGACTTTAATTTTAATTTTGGCTAAAGTTCTAAAGATCGCTTACTTATATACTTTAAATGAATAATTTTAAATTTGTGAATCAGTATATATAATTCTTATAACTATTAGATAATGTAACAGTATTTATAAAAATCTATTTGAAAACATTTAATATTTCTCGAACATTTTGTTACCCTGCGGAAAGTTCCAGCAATTTGCCTTAAAGCACGATGCCATGCACCACTAGTAACTTCCCGTAGGGCAAAAAAATCGAAAATAAAACTTTTTATACATCTTTACGTTTCAAAACCTTATTTTGGCATACCTTAGAAAAAATGGATGTATGTGTGGGTGTGGGTGTGTGTATGTGTGTGTGTTCGGATACAAATTTTCATCGACGATTTCGGGAACACGGATGAAGCGATTTGAACAATTCAAAAAACATTCGATTCGTTTTGATAAGGAGACGTGCTGATTAGTTTTTGGCGAAGGCAGGTCTAGCCGTTCCGAAGATATGGGGCAAAAAGTGCCAAAAACGGTAACTCAGTTTTTAAGAGAACGGAGCGTCCGATTTGAATAATTCAAAAAACATTTTACTTGTATTAACAAGATAAAGAACTGATCAAATTTTCATGAAGGTAGGTCTAGCGGTTTCGGAGATCTAGTAAAAAACGTAAAAAAAATGCCATTTGGCGGTAAAAAATGATCATTAGACATATGCACATCAAATTACCAGATATTTTATAGAGATTTTAACAATAAGTATAAATTTTGTTTACATTCCTATGGGTTCCGTACCAATGCTTATCCATTAGACGGCGTCGCGGCGCTTACGCGCTTCGATATTTCGTCTCTATGCAGTTAAAGCAGTACGATTGCTTTGAAAAAAAGTTCAGAATTTCCAAAATATTTCAAAATAAATTTTTCTTCAAAAAGTCTATTTTTTCCAAAAAAAAGTAAGTTCATGTCAAAAATTTTTTATTTCTCAAAAATCTAATTTTTTCAGAGTAAATTTTTTGCAAAAATGTTGATCTTTTTAAAAAAAAATAATTTTTGATACGGAAAGTTCCAGCAATTTGCCTTAAATAGTGGGATGCCATGCGCCCCACTAGTCTTATCTTTGCATGATGCTAAAGTTGAATAAAAAATACACACAATACTTATATAAATGTCTATATTTTTCTTTTACAGTTTCGATTCTATATCTACAGATTGAAAAAAAATATAGGATGTATATTATTTATAAATGATACATTAATTGCCTTCATTCATTTCTCTTCGTTAATGTTCTTTCTACATTTGTGTTTATTCAAATAACGATTATCAGAAAATACTCTATCACAAATTTCACATTTATAAGAATACTCTCTATTATGAGTACGCATATGTTGTTTTAAATATTTCAAACGACTGAAGGCCCTGCCACATTCTTCACATTTATGAGGACACTCTTTAGCATGACTATCCGTATGTTGTTTTAAATCTGACAATTGGCTGAAGGCTTTCTCGCATTTACCACATTGATAAGGATACTCTTTATTAATATGAACACGCATATGCTGTTTTAAATTACCCAATTGAGTAACGACTTTGTCACATTTATCACATTTGTAAAGATACTCTTTAGGGGCATGAATACTCATATGTAGTTTTAAATTAGACACATGACTAAAGGCTTTGTCACATTTATCACATTTATGAGGATACTGTTTAGTAGTATGAACACGCATATGTAGTTTTAAATGACCCGAATATTTGAAGACCATGTCACATTCTTCGCATTTATGAAAATGCTCTTTATCATGAGTGAGCATATGTTGTTTCAAAGTACTCGATTGACTGAAAGCTTTACCACATTTATCACATGTGTAACAACGTTCCCCTGTATGAACAAATAAGTGGCGTTTCAAAATTGCCAATGTATAGAATGACCTATCACAGAGTTCGCATGTGTAAGACTTCATACTTTCTCCAGTATGAGAGCGCTTATGTTGTTTTAAAATACTTGGATGAAAGAAAGCTTTGTCACATTCATCACATTTGTAAGAACGTTCACCAGAATGACTAGACATATGTAGTTTCAAATCATATGATTGAATGAAGGCTTTGTCACATTTATCGCATTTGTAAGGTCGAACCCCAGAATGAAGAAACATGTGCATTTTCATACTTTTCGGTCGTGTGAATGTTTTATTGCAGACTTCGCATTCATAGGGGCGTTCTCCTGTATGAGTATGCATATGATGTTTTAAATTTTGTGATGAGCATAACTCCTTGTTACATAATTTACATGTAAAAGAAAGTTTATCAGAATGAGTACGCATGTGCAACTTCAGGGAATGTGAAGTTTTGAATGCCTCGGAGCATACTTGGCATTTATAGAATCTAGTATGAGTTCGCAAATGATAATTTAAACTATTTGATGAATAGTATGCTTTATCACATGTTTCACATGCATAAAGAGGTTTTTCAGAATGAATACTCATATGTTGTTTCAAATTAAATAAATGTATGAATGTTTTATCACACATCTCACATTTATGGGGACGTACTCCACTGTGAACATGCATATGTCTCTTTAAGTTGAGCTTTTGTTTAAATACCTTCTTGCAAATTTCACATTCATGAACACATTCATGCACACCTTTTTTGGAATGAATGAGCATGTGTTTTTTCATATTACATAATTGTGTAAATGCTTTATTACAAATAGCACATTTATAAGATGGATCTTTATTTAATGGTTCAATTTTCACCAATTTTCTGTGTATGTATATTTGAGGCGCACTCTTTCCAGAATGAGAATATGTATCTTGCTTTTCACTCGGCTGTATCTCTAAATCAATTGTCTCGGGAAAAGTAATTGGGGAATGATTTTGATCTAGTATATGTTCTACATGTAAAAATGATCTATCGCATGTGATATGTTCAAAAGGGGGCTTCTCAATTTGTTCCTGCTTGACTTCTTCTTCAATCTTTACTTCTGAATTCATGAATCTTTCCAGACACGTATCTTCATCCTCTGAACAAGGTTCAGGCTTAATAACATTATCAAATTCATTCTTGATTTTATCTTGAAAATCTTCTATATAATCTTCGTTTGGTTCATTCTTGATTTTATCTTGAAAATCTTCTATATAATCTTTGTTTGGTTCAGTTTTAATTATTTCAATTGTAGTCGTTCCTCCGGACATTTTTAAATATCTACACTTTTTATAAGACTTAGAATTAATTAAATACAATAAATAAAAGTTTACTGCAATATAATAATTCTTTGACAACAGATAATTAACCACAAACGCTTTTAACTCCTCGCTTAAAATAAGTTTGACAATGTTTTAAAATTTGTGTTGACAAGCATAGAGACTTATTCATAGATATGAGGATATATTCGCCATAGATAAATAAACATAAATAGATCGCTATCTCGGGCAATTTGACGTTACACCCATTTTAATTTACGAATTGATCACAACATGGCAGCACATGTAGAGTTTGTAAATTAACCCCTGGTATTACTTCTACATTTGTACATAAAATCAATAGCAAAAAAATATGAAAACTAGCTGTAAGTAGAATTCTGTCTTGAGGCAATTATGGCATCGTGCCTTAAGGCAAATTGCTGGAACTTCCCGTACCGTAACGAAATGTTCGAGGAATACTGAATGTTTTCAAATAGATTATTATTAATATTGTAACATTGTCTAATATTTATAAGAATTATATAAACTGAATTGCAGAGTTGAAATTATTTGTAAAGTATATTAGAACTATAGTCAGAATTAAAAATAAAATCTAAAATATATAATATACAAAAAACTAAAAAAAAAAAACCCAAAATCAATTATTTTATTAAGACAAGCAGAAAGTTCTTTGAATCATTTAAATCGGACGCTTAGTTCTCTCAAAAACTGCAATTTTTTACATATTTAGCTCCGTATCTTCGAAATGGCTGGGCCTGCCTTTTCCAAAACCTAATAAACACTTTTCCCAATTATTACTAATTGAATGTTTTTTAGATCATTCAAATCGGATACTCCGTTCTCTCAAAAATTCGATTTTTATTTTCTGCACTCTTTGCTCCGTATCTTCGAAACGGCTGGACCTGCCTTTGCCAAAAACTAATCAGCTCTTTTCCCTATCAATAGGAATCGAATGTTTTTTGAACCATTCAAATCGGTTGATCCGTGCGCCCTAAAACGTGACTGGAAATTTGTATCCATACATACATACACACACACACACATCCATTTTTTCTGAGGTATTCCAAAACATTCAGAAACCTTCAAAACGTCGAGAAATGTAAAAATTTTCAATTCCGATTTTCGGCCCATTACAATAACTTACACTACGGGAAATTAAAAAATTAATATTTGAAATAAAAACAAAACATACGAAATACAAAATATATTTTCAAATATATCACATACATATTTTTGAAAAATTATAAACTAAACAGAAATAACTGACTACTATCGAAGTATATTACAGACATATTTTTAAAGTACTACAAATTAAAGAGAAATAAATTATTAATATTAATTAGTTAATGACTAATAATAATATATTAAAAACTTAAAAACTAAGAAGTAAGAAGCTCAGGAGTATTGACGATGTAAAGACAAATTTAGAAGGAATGACAAATAATGCAAAAATTTAAAAGGTTAAAAAGAACAGCAAATTTTTAAAAAAGAATGAATACTTTCCAGACAAAATAATCCTAAAAACGATATATATATATATATATATATATATATATATATATATATATTGA